TCTGGCAAACATACACCCTATAGCAAAAATCTCTCTTTAAAAAAAACACATTGTATTGTACCCCATAAATTCATATAATTATTACTTATCAGTTAAACATTCTTAAATGAAATTGAAGAAAAATATATACAATTTAAGTATTTAAACAAATGATCGAAAAAAGTAACCTAGGGAACCCTTGGCCTTCCTTAGAAAATCTCTCCCTGCTACCCCTCCTTCTATATAGAAATTCTTTATTCTTTCAACTTATTCCTTTGGGCCTATATGGTTTTTCCTCATGAGTTTACCTAAATAATATGTTATCTAGCCTTTCTTGCTTTCACATGTTACACGAAAGGGCTCTTCCCATGTATTCTGCAGTGACTTGCTCTTCTCACTGAATTCGCTGTAGTTTCTCACGCCCTTGCTGCACAGTATTCTATAGTACACCTAGATGAATTTATTCATTTTAATACCAATGGATAGCTAAGATGCTTCCAGATTTTGCTGTATCAGCCATATGGGAAAATGACTGGGTGCAGTTTAGAGGACAGTTGTTGGGCCATAGGAAATCACCACGTTTAGCGTGAAGGGGCAGTGCCAAAGCACCTCTACAAGCTTTAGAAATTTGCATGCCCATAAGGTGTCAAAACCTTGTTCCTTACTCTACTCTCTTGCCCGAACTGGGGGTTTTCAGGGCTTTTTACTTTTGCCAATCTGGTAAATGAGAGGTAATATTTTATATATGTTTTTATTTGATAGTCTGTGATTACATAAGGCTGAGTATCTTACATATCTATATTAAACATTTAGGTTTCTTCATCTACATACGCCTATTCAAGTCTTTTACATAATTTTATTTGATCATAACCTCAAAATTATGAAACTGTGTATTACTAAAACACTATGCATAGATTTCAATTTATTTTATTTACTTATTTATTTATTGAGAGAGAGAGAGAGAGAGAGAAAACCACCCTTAACAGGATCTCACACTGCAATTCTCCCCCAAGCCTTCCTAGCTAGCCAATATGACAGGTCCCCAGGGCGTACAGGCCACTTAGAGGACCAATCCTGCAATCTTCCATGCGGATCCAGCTGCGCTTGAGCATGCTGGCCTGAGACTTCAAACTTTCTGCACTAAAATAAGTTTACACTTTAATTCCACCTTTCCATGAACTTTTCAAAGTCTCACACCCTCTCCCCCACCATGGTTTTACTTGTGTGTGGGAGGTCGTTTTCACATTCTATATTCTAAATTATTGCATAGTTTATAGATATTACAACTATGGTATCTTTTGATAGCGAAACATTCTGAATTCTGGGACCAGCAGTTAGCATAATGGCTATGTCGCTGGACTCCCGTGTAGTCGACCATGGTTTGAGTTCCGGACCTGGTGGCTTAAACTCACACCGGGCACGTGTGCGTGCGTGCCCAAGATCCCAAGAGGAGAATGGAGGAGAAGGGATTGCGGCATGGCCATCTCCTCTGGGGGGTGATTTCTCACTTTCTGTCTCTCTGTTTCTGTCTTTCTGGAGAGCGCACGTACCCTATAGAAAAAAAAATTCTGAATTCCAGTCAAGTCAAAGTTATTAAGATAGTCCTTCATGTGTGAAGAAATACATCTATCTTGCAGTAATAAAAAGGTCAGTTTATTGTCTTTCTGAATCTTTACACTTTTTTTTAAACCTAAATTATGTACGCTAGTAAGTCTACTGGGAATAGTTAGCATATTTCTCAAAGGGACACTTTTAGTGTTTCAAAATTAATGTGTTGAAAGGTTTTTGTTGTTGTTGGTTTTTTTGCCATAGGGCACGTATGCTTACTGGAGAGACACAAAGCAGGAAAATAAATTACCCACAGGGGATGGCCACACTGCAATCTCTTCTCCTCTATTCTCTTCTTGGGATAGAAGAAATACACACAAACACATAACCAGCATGATTTTCAAGCTGCTGGGTCCAGGTCTTGCACCACATTGGCCATGTGGGAGTCAAGCACCTTAACCACCATGCCACCTGCTGGCCATTGTTGAACCTAAGGGCAAGTGTCAAAGCTGCTGTCATAGGTAGACTTTCTTCACTCACAGAGAAATCTTGTCCTGTTTTTAAGGTCTTCTAAGTGACTGGCCACCATGAGGTTAACTAGGACAATCTTCCTTATTTATGACTAGGGGCTTTACTTATTAATTCCTTTCTAGAAAAAAAAAAAAACTAGTTTTGAACAACTAGTGGACACATCAGTAAGGCCAACGTAAGGGGGGATTATGTTTTGTTGGGAAATGTCTTCCTTTCTCTCTGACAAGGAAAAGGTGTTTTCACAGGCACAGGATTCTAGGCAGTGTTCTGAAGACACCACGCCAGAGTTCGCCGGACTCCATGGTAGCTGTCCGCATGTCGCTCCCTCAAATGTAATCTTTCTCCTCTTGTTATTGTTGAAAATTTCCCTCTTTCTTTAATGCTTCACAGCTCAATAGACTGTATGTGTTTAGCCTTTTATTTATTCATTTAAATTATGTACGCTAGTAAGTCTACTGGGAATAGTTAGCATATTTCTCAAAGGGACACTTTTAGTGTTTCAAAATTAATGTGTTGAAAGGTTTTTGTTGTTGTTGGTTTTTTTGCCATAGGGCACGTATGCTTACTGGAGAGACACAAAGCAGGAAAATAAATTACCCACAGGGGATGGCCACACTGCAATCTCTTCTCCTCTATTCTCTTCTTGGGATAGAAGAAATACACACAAACACATAACCAGCATGATTTTCAAGCTGCTGGGTCCAGGTCTTGCACCACATTGGCCATGTGGGAGTCAAGCACCTTAACCACCATGCCACCTGCTGGCCATTGTTGAACCTAAGGGCAAGTGTCAAAGCTGCTGTCATAGGTAGACTTTCTTCACTCACAGAGAAATCTTGTCCTGTTTTTAAGGTCTTCTAAGTGACTGGCCACCATGAGGTTAACTAGGACAATCTTCCTTATTTATGACTAGGGGCTTTACTTATTAATTCCTTTCTAGAAAAAAAAAAAAAACTAGTTTTGAACAACTAGTGGACACATCAGTAAGGCCAACGTAAGGGGGGATTATGTTTTGTTGGGAAATGTCTTCCTTTCTCTCTGACAAGGAAAAGGTGTTTTCACAGGCACAGGATTCTAGGCAGTGTTCTGAAGACACCACGCCAGAGTTCGCCGGACTCCATGGTAGCTGTCCGCATGTCGCTCCCTCAAATGTAATCTTTCTCCTCTTGTTATTGTTGAAAATTTCCCTCTTTCTTTAATGCTTCACAGCTCAATAGACTGTATGTGTTTAGCCTTTTATTTATTCATTTTGAAAATATCAGACTTGTTGAATTTATAAGATGGTATTATTTCATTCATGCTGGTACAAACTTTCATCTACTGGCCTGCTCCATTTTCTGTCCTTGCCCATTAGAACCTATTACATGGACTTTAGATACTCCCTTTCTCTCCACCTGTCTATCATATTCCCATATTTTCTATTTCTTTGTGTCTCTGCACCATATGCTGAATAATTTCTTCTTCAGAAACAGCTTCAGCTCAGTAAATCTCTCTTCACTTAGATCTGATCTCTAGTCAAACATCGATTTAAGTTCAATTACTATATGCTTCCTTAATATGAGTTTCTTTTCCTATATTCTTAAAATTGGTTTTGCATTCTTTCAAGTTCTTATTCCCTGAATATTTTTAAAGCTTGGGTTTTCCTTGTTACTGCAGCTTACACATGGCCGTTTTGTACTCCATTTCAGTTCATTCCAGTATGTGAAGTCTCTGCGAGTCAGCTTCTGTTTGCTGTTTCTGCTACTTCTCATTCATGATTTGTTTCCTTGTAGGCTGAATGATGTTTAGCTGTGAAATTCCCCTTTAGAATTTTAGGTGGAACAATTCTTTGAAGCCTGGATGAAGGGGAGCTCCTCAAGAGGGATGTATGTTGGTATCTTCTTGGGGTCTGAGGACACAGATCTTAGGATCACCTTAAAGTTGATCTGAGTCTTGTGATCTGAGTCTTATGATCAGATCAAATCATAAGTTACTAATTCAAAACGCTGTGCAGGCTGACGTGTGGCTACCTCTTAGGGGGTACCTTTTCCTCCTCCCTACTCATCACTTGTGCATAGAATGTGCAAGTGTCCTCACAGCACCCCGGAAGTGGGTTCAGGGCAGGGGCACCATTATTTCTTGTTTACTTTTACACTGAGGCTTCCCAGATCTATGAGTGCTGGTCTTCTATTACACTGCTCATCTTGGCGAGAACATTGGGCACTCTGAGGACACACTGTAGGTCTCCACTACGTGCTGAATTCACATTGCTAACTGTACACTTAAACTGCCATGTGAGATAGGAGGAGGAAGTATTCAGAACTTAAATTATGTAATCAGAAAGTAAGACAACCTGATCGAAGGGACCAGTTACGATCACAGAGTGGGATGAAAAAACCAGTGCAGCTAAAATTTCAGAGTTCTGATGTTGAACTACTGCTTTTTTGAAGAGGGAATTATATTTTCAGAACCCAAAAAAACAGGACACACCGTGTAACTATGATTTTTTTCCCTGAATTTTGAATTTATGTTTATGAAAAGTCTTAGAAAGTTTTAAAAGTTAGTTAAATATTCATCTTATGAATTTTATAAACCGGTTTACAAGAACTGGTTCTACAAAAAACAGTATTTACCATATCAATTACCCTACCAAATAACTCCTTTTAAGTGCCTTATATAAAACTAAGCCTGTTGTCTTTTCTTCTGTGATGGATATTCCTCCTCAGGGATATCTTAAGCTTAGTAACTTTTGCTGAAGAATTTCTAAATAGCAAACTTATTACATCGTATTTCTGAAGTACTATGCCATAGCTAGTCATGGAAGTATAGAAGAAAGGAAAATTTCCTGAAATTCTTGAAATGTTATCACTCAGGGCTTAGATGAAAGTTTATAGTGATAAAAAGAAATGTTTAACAATGACAATCCTTTGTTACAGAAGAAAAGTGTGGAGGACCACTCTTACCTGCTTAAAAAGCTGGAGGTTAACTGCAGTGTCCAAGAACTGTTTCATGACGCTTGACCGGTGCTTTACGAAACTCACCTCACAGAAAGTGATAGGCTCGCCCTAGACAGAGATAAAGATTGTCAGGACATCAATAAAGGATCAGTTAGGCAGAACCAGGCTCTCTCAGGAGACACACAGAGTGTTGTGAGGAAGGATACGATACCGTATCAACAAACAAACCCTTATATGTAGATAGTCTCTGACTTAGGATGGTTCAACTTAAGATTTTTTTGACTTTACAATAGTGCATTTTGCCATGTGTTCTGTTTCCTTAAAAAACGGACAATGACTTTGCCTCAAAATGATAGGGATTGCATTCTGCTTTTTACTTTCAGTATGAAAATCACCAAATTTACATGAGCTATTCCACACTGAATAAGAATGTGGGGTTTGTGTATAAGTCAATGCAAGTGCTCTGAGCGGGGTGTCGTAGGTAAGGCTAAACTGTAATGTTCGGTATTTTAGATGTATTCAATGAACTGTTGATTTTTTTAATTTAATAATTGTTTTTATGTTCATTTTATTTATCTTTTTTTTTTTTTTTCAGTTTACTACAGGGCATGTGCACTCATGAGAGAGAGAGAGAAAGTAATAAAGCAAGCCAGGTCTGGGGGGTACTTGAACCACATTTAGCCATGTGGGAGTCCAGTGCCTTAACCACCACTCAGCCTGCTGGCCACGGACTTATGATATTTTTACCTTAAGATGAGTTTTTTATGACGGAACCCCATCGTAAGCTGAGGGGCGCCTCTACTTTTGTAGGTGGCAGTAATCACCTTGGGCTTTATATTACAGAAGTGATTATAAACGACTCCTCAACATGAATTTCTTCAATTCAAAGTTGGGGAGAAGAATTTTATCTAGGATTTTAATCCAAGTCCTGACTGTTTGAAGTTCAAGTGGTTAACTACATTGTTAAACATTCCAAAACGCTGCAAAATCAACAGGACATGTTTATCAGTGGACATGCAACAGCGTTTCTTAAAGTGTGACCAGGGACGGGAGACCTTTGATAGAATCTACAACACCAAAGCTATTTTCATAATACAAAACAGTATTTGCCTTTCTCTGTCTCCTTTACCCGTGAGATTCCGTGACGTTTACCAGAGGCCTGTGATTTGCAGTATTGCTACAGACAATGGAATGCAGAATCAAGTATCAGAATCTAGCTGAGTTCTATTGAACCAGATGTTAAGAGAGATTTTCAAATGTAATATAATGTCATTGTTCTGATGCAATTTCTTGTCTATAGATACATTTGTTTTCATAAAAATATGTTTCATGCTAATCTGTACTAGGTTTCTATTGATTCTTTAAAATAAATTAATGAACATTTAAATTTTTTTCAGTTTTACTTTCTAATGTGGCAAACGTTGTTAGAAACATCCACACAGTCAGAAGTTCTTTGATGTCCATGATAATTTTTAAAAGCATAAAAGATGTCCAAAGACCCAAACGTTTGAGAACCACCAATAAACAGACACAAATGGGTCAAAAATAACCCAATTTCTAGGCTGAGGCTCAGAATATCATTTATCATTAAGACTGGAAATCTAGAAAGAAAATCAGATGTTAGGAAAAGTGAGTAAAATCAGTTCTAACCTGTCTTAAGTCATACTCTGGGTAGGGATTGAGATGGGGATTCCTACTCAATTGGTTTGTTGGTGAATTACTCTCGAGAAGGTACTAAGAGAAATAGGATAGGGCTAGGGCGGAAGAAAACAAGGAAGTAAGAATGTAGTCTGGACCGGAGATCAGCTTCAGTCCAATCCGATGAAAAGGTATGAATTTTATCACAGTGCTGATCCTGCCTTGAGGGAAGGAGGGCAGCTTCTTACACCCCATCATTGGCCACGGTCTTCCCTAGTGCGATGGGCTGGGGAGAGGCAGGGTGCAGACAGTCTCCCTGGTGAGACACCATTTAGCCAAGGGCTGAAAGGAGCACCAGCCAGCGTTCACTACAGGTGGACAAAGCTGCCTATCGAGCCCTTGGGGGTAAGCTGCAAAAGCCAGAAACTCAAGGGAGGCAGATTTGTCACCTAAGAATTATCTATACAGAGCTGAGTACAAAAGTTACATTTACCCTACTTCCAGAAAAGAATGTGTGTAATTGAGAAATGCCTCTATTTTTTTAGTGTTAGACTTCTCATTGATAGAATAATCAGTAAACAAGCATATGATTCTATAGACACAGAGTAAACAGAAAGACAAAGCAATGGGAAAGAGCACTCTTCATGGGAAAATTCTGACATGACTGAAAAAAGCAATGGCATCTTCTGCCCCGTAAAACAGAGAGAAAGCTACAGGAAGGAGCACCAGACTCGCTGGGGTGGAAAGTCCAGTGAAGGGGCACAGAAGGGTGTCAGTAAACAATCGGCACTGGAACAGGAATGGCATTCATGTACAGAGAAGAGAACCAGACAGGACTTGTCATCATATCTAAGTGTCATCTCGGTCAACAAACACGGGCTAACAAGAGTCAATGACGTAGCAAGTATGGTACAAAAATGCTTGCTAGGTGACTCATTACTAATAGTGGTAAACATGACAAAGTTCATACTTGATTTCCTTTCCTTTTTTTTTTTTTTTTTTGAGAGGTTTTTGCTATAGGGAGCATGCGCTCGCCAGAAAGACAGAGAGCAGAAAGTGAGAAATCAACCCCGTGGGGGGATGGCCACACCACAATGCCTTCTCCTCCATTCTCCTCTCAGGATTTTGGGCATGCACACACACGCACCCGGAGTGGGTTTAAGCCTCCGGGTCCAGGACTTGAACCGCGGTCAATCACATGGGAGTTCAGTGACATAGCCATTACGCTAACTGTTGGTCTCTTGATTTCCTTTTAAAATAGATAAATCACGGCAGATTCAAGATTCTTGAATACCATCACTGGTCACTTGCACAGTGGCAAGGAAAGGGTTCCACCATGTCCGTGTGCTGGGAACCCTATGCCAATCCTGCCTCAGGTCCCTGCCGCAGCCCAGTGAGCTGGGGCAGGACCACGCCCTAATCCTACCCCCAGGGGCATAGACCTGCCACATGGAACACGCCATCCACCTCAGCGTGCTGGACCACATTCAACAGAAAGCAGTAACCCCTCCTTCTCTGCACCCCTAGAGCTTTTCGCTGTCTTTCTCTGGCACTTACTTTCTGCCCTGCATTAGAAGTTATTTTATGTCCTTACCTGTGAACTCTGGAACTCTGAAACTAAATACTTACTCACCTTTGCAACCCCCTATTCCTACCACGCACTACACTGTGCCTTGCCCTCTGAGCATTCGATAAATATCCACTAGTTACGAGTAGAGTTCTTTTTATAGAATAAGTGAGCCTCAGGGAAGGGTTGAAGGAGATAGGGCTGTTTCTCTATCCTAATGTCATATCCAACTTCAGAGCAATGATCGCTATTAATATCATATGTTGCCTTGTTGGTTTCACTTTAAAAATAGTTCTATGTTGTTCTCTGGAGTAGAACACTTTGTAAGGACAAGAAAATACTTAAAATGATGCTATAAGGATGTGCACAATTTACCCAGAACTTAAACTGAAAGAAAATTAAAGTATCAGGACTAAGGACACTATACAAAAATACGAAATGAAATCTAAAACAGCAACATTTTACTTATTTAGTTCCTTAATATGCCTGGACTTAATATGTAATGTCATTGTTACATAAAGCATATACACAAACTAAGCAAAAATGTCTGCATACTGATAGCTTCTTTAAATTTTAAAACCTCTGAAGGGCTGTGCTGCCAGGACTCTCCTGGGGATACGCAAGTACGTGTAGGTTCTCTCAGGAAATAACAATAAGTGACTTGGGGGTTATGTAGCACCTTTCTTCTATCGTAATGGAAGGCATAGTCCATCCACTTTCAGAACTCAGGAACTGCAAACACATTAACTTTACTTGACTGCTATCAATTAAAAAAAAAAAAAAGAGCCTCAGATTCATTCTTATGGTACAGAATACTATAGAAGTTTAATCTCAAAGTTATTAAATCAGTCCTAAAAAATATAGCTACCAACTAATGCTCTGTTTGCCTATGATTTATCAACTTGAGATGGGAAATGATACTGCTTTTTCTAAATTAGACATGGCTGCTTCTAGCATTTTGGTAAAATGTGAACATGGAAAAAAATTAGGTATGATGGATTATTTTTGTATATACTGTTATAAAAATATATTTTCCCATAATTTAAGGAAATAAGAAAAACACTCCATTTTCATTAAACATATTACCAGGGATATAAGAATGAAACCTTTACTATCAAAGTCTAGCTTGTCATAGTAGGCATGGAGAATTTTATACCATTACTACAGCAATTAAGCAAAAATACTCTGTTCATTAAAAACATGCAGAGAGGGACTGGACTCCCATGTAGTCAACCACAGTTCAAGTCCCAGATCCAGCAGTTTAAAATTCACGTCAGGTATGTGTACATGTGTGCCTAAGATCCCGAGAGGAGAATGGAGAAGGGATTGCAACATGGCCATCTCCCCCGGGGGTGATTTCTCACTTTCTGTTTCTCTGTCTCTCTGGAGAGCACACATGCCCTATAGCAAAAGTCTCTCTTAAAATTAAAAACAAACAAACCAAAAAAGTGCAGAGAACACCATAAAAACACCTTTTGTATCCCAGAAAGTCTCAAGCACACCAAACATGTCTGTGGTAGCAACAGTCTCCATCCATATGCAAGCATGAGGAATGAGATGAACGGGTGCCTACACTGTTTTAGCAACCACACACTGAGGGGGAGTAAGTGGTAGTGCATTTCAATACGGATTTGTAAAACTCTAACAAACTGACAGTTACAAATTTCTAAAATGGAAGCATTAAAGGCAAAGATTTAGTGAATTGCCTCTTAAATTATGAATGCCTACTCTGTTTAAATTGTTTGAGCTTAATCACTAAATAAAACCTCCTTACTCACTGATAATGTCTTAAAAAAATATAATTCAAATGAAATCTAAAGGACAACTCCTTTGACTTGTCAGAGGAAGACTGTTAGTAACCAATCTTTACTTTCAAAGTAATTTGCTTTTTATCCATAAGCCAGACTCAAGGAAGCCCAGAAAAGCCTGAGTGATTGAAACAAATGCCGGACCGCACCCTAAGGCTTCAAAGGAATAAACTTGAGTGTAACTTCTATGCTCTTAGACTGGATCATCAAATCTGTGTCTCTGAATGCCCTACGCGGTACTTTAACTCAAGCAAACACTTCTTTACCATTAGCTATTAGTCAAAAATTTGACTTTTATTTTTTAATAACTTGTGACACAAATAATACACAGAGGTATTACTGAAGACCCTTTATTAGTTATTTATTGCAATCATTTAAAAATATTGTCATGTTTATGACAACGTTTTTCTTTCTTAAAGATCAGAGGAGGGTGCTTTAGAATGGAGAAGGGATTGCAACATGGCCATCTCCCCCGGGGGTGATTTCTCACTTTCTGTTTCTCTGTCTCTCTGGAGAGCACACATGCCCTATAGCAAAAGTCTCTCTTAAAATTAAAAACAAACAAACCAAAAAAGTGCAGAGAACACCATAAAAACACCTTTTGTATCCCAGAAAGTCTCAAGCACACCAAACATGTCTGTGGTAGCAACAGTCTCCATCCATATGCAAGCATGAGGAATGAGATGAACGGGTGCCTACACTGTTTTAGCAACCACACACTGAGGGGGAGTAAGTGGTAGTGCATTTCAATACGGATTTGTAAAACTCTAACAAACTGACAGTTACAAATTTCTAAAATGGAAGCATTAAAGGCAAAGATTTAGTGAATTGCCTCTTAAATTATGAATGCCTACTCTGTTTAAATTGTTTGAGCTTAATCACTAAATAAAACCTCCTTACTCACTGATAATGTCTTAAAAAAATATAATTCAAATGAAATCTAAAGGACAACTCCTTTGACTTGTCAGAGGAAGACTGTTAGTAACCAATCTTTACTTTCAAAGTAATTTGCTTTTTATCCATAAGCCAGACTCAAGGAAGCCCAGAAAAGCCTGAGTGATTGAAACAAATGCCGGACCGCACCCTAAGGCTTCAAAGGAATAAACTTGAGTGTAACTTCTATGCTCTTAGACTGGATCATCAAATCTGTGTCTCTGAATGCCCTACGCGGTACTTTAACTCAAGCAAACACTTCTTTACCATTAGCTATTAGTCAAAAATTTGACTTTTATTTTTTAATAACTTGTGACACAAATAATACACAGAGGTATTACTGAAGACCCTTTATTAGTTATTTATTGCAATCATTTAAAAATATTGTCATGTTTATGACAACGTTTTTCTTTCTTAAAGATCAGAGGAGGGTGCTTTTTCTTGTTTATGCTAAAGGCATTTTCCTTATCAAGTTTACTATTTCTAAACTTTCATTTTTCATAATAGCTAACACATAGAGCATTTACTATAAGCCAAGAATTCTTCTAAATACACATGCGAGATCCTTTTACTGTGCAAACAACCTACGAAGCATCATTACCTTAATTTTATTTTTAACAACTGAGAAAACTAAAACACTCACAAGGTTAATCTGCCCCAAATCATACACGTTAGTCACAGAACGAGGATTCACACGCAGGTCCAGAGGCTGGTGCTCTTGGCATTTTTCTTCGATTCTCTTAGCACGTTAGTTTAGCTCACAGTTCTGAATTATTAAAATAACTTGTTGCTAGCTTAAATTCCCCAAAACAAAATACCAATTATTTTCTGTAATCATTTCAGTTTTGTATTTTTCTCTGTCAGGTACAACCTATTTGTCAATCATGCAGTGTGTCATTTAGAGAGTGTAAATTAGACAATGTAAGAAAAGTAACAACATATTGAGAGTTGCTACTCAGACATTCTAACAGCTTAATTTATAAAGTAAGGTACTCTGTTAGCAGTATTGAGCCTTTGTATTTAGCATCTGCATAACAGCATGCAAACACCTTGGAGGACTTTTTCTCCCCATCCTCACACACCTGGCACTCGGCTCCCCAGAGCTACTGCCTTCCTCTCCGAAGCCTTGCAGATTTGAGCCTCCTGGCCAATCTTGCCACTCTTCACTAGGGCCCTTTCAGCCTCACCCCTCAATGACACTGTAACAGCCACACCTGCCTTCCTGCCTTTGGTCTTGCTCAACTCCAATCTAACATGAATATTGCCATCAAAATGATCCCCCTTTTTTTTTTTTAAAGATTTATTTAAATTCTCTTTGTTATCATTATTCTTCAATTTTGACAACAGAGAGACAGACAGAGAGAAAGGGAGAGTGAGAAAGCAAGCCACTAGGTCCAGGACTTGAATAGGGGACAGCCATGTAGAAGGAGTCCAGCGCCTCAACCACCACACTGCATGCTGGCCCCCAAGGTGATCTTTCTAATACCCAATGATGAGCACTTCAATTTGCTCTTTTTCTCAAATCTGAACTGAACAAATTTTAAAATAAAAATGAAAAGAGGGGACCAGCAAATGATGTAATGGTTACATCACTGGACTCCTACACAGTCAATTGTGGTTCAAGTCCCAGACCTGGCAGCTTATATCTCACATCAGGTGTCAGGTGTGTGTGTCTACATGCCCAAGATCTCGAGAAGAGAAGAGAAGGGATTGCGGCATGGCCAGTCCCCCTGGGAGGTGATTTTCCACTTTCTGTCTCTATGTCTTTCTCTCTATCTTTATGGAGAGTGCATGTGTCCTATAGCAAAAATCTCCTGGAACCACCAGGTGGCATAATGGTTACATCACTGGACTCCCATATAGTTGACCCCAGTGTGAATCCTGGACCTGGCGGCTTAAAACTCAGGCCGGGTCTGTATGCACATGTGCCCAAAATCCCAAGAGGAGAATGAAGAAGGGATCGCTGGGTGGCCATCACTCCTGAGGTATAATTTCTCTCTTTCTGTCTCTCTTCCTCCCTCTGGTGAGTGCACACGCCCAATAGGAAAAATCTCACTCTTATAAAAAAAAAAAAATACTCTCTGAAAAAAGAAAAGTGAAAAGAGAAATTGAACTTATACAGATGAACAAATACTTAAATATGGCAAAATTAAGTAAAGTGATATTTTTAACTTTTCCTCCTGTACTATGAATTTCAAATCAATTTCAACTTAATCTGAGTTGATAAAAATTAATTACTAATTTTGTCTATCAAACCCATTTTATAGTTTAATGGACACTGAATAATTTAAAAATGAATATGCTCTCCTATAATATGGATGATGGGTTTCCAGTCTTCTTAAAGGATAAGATCCTTCTATCAACATTTTTTAAAAAAACCTCTCCCATGGGGGTATGTGTACTAGACACAGTACTATGAGTTCTGCAATACTTACAAATACATACATGTTTCAAAAATATCAGCATGGGAGCTAGACATATTCACCTATCTAGAGATGGCTCATCGGCCCAGCCCTTCAAGGACTCCTTCCAATAACTCACTAACCTCCAGAAGTGTAAGAGCCACAGGGCGGGAACCACTAATTCAGAAGTCAGCTTAGAAGACAGAAAACCCATTCTTGGGCATTTACTGCTTCACAGTTTATGACAGAGTTTACATGCCAATCCTGAGGGCCAGACAGGGAGGGTATAAGAATTCTCCTTTTGCTAATAAGAAGATCGAAGTCCAGAGACTAAGAAGATGGGTCAAGGCTGCACAGCTCAGTAATGAAATTCCTACTCGACAGCAGCCCTTCTGCTTATTTATTTTTAGTTCAGTGTTTAAATCTTTTAAAATGAAATCATCTTGCTATGGAAGAATGGAGTTACAGTTGTATAAAACACCCTAACGCACATTAACTAACATTTTAGAGAGAGATACAAATGTATTTCTGGGCAATTAAAAACCATGGCTATAGCTTTGCCTAGTGATTGCTTTTAGGGTATTAAAACAAAAAAAATGGCAAATGAACGAAGAGATGCTAATCAGATAATTCCTCTCTGCTACACATTAGGAAGACAGCAAATTTCCAAATACTGCAAAACATTCCAAGTTCTAATATATTTTTCACTTTCACTTGTCATTCTAAACTCATTAACCGATTCCAATTGGTGAATTTCTTAACCATCTGACAGGATTCATATTAGTTAAGAGGTAAATATTACATTTCTAGAATAAGGAGATAGGCAAAAGAATGAGGTATATTAACTAAAGGTTACTTGAAAAGAATGAAAGACAAAGTCAAGAACTTAAAGATGGAACATGTTTTAAAGCATATTGTTTCAAATTTTCAAAGACTGTCATAATGCTTTTTTAAGGTGCGATATTAAAATGATGCTTTTTTCCTGCCTCATTCCTAAGAGTCATGAAAAAGCAAAGGACAACAGTGACGAAATAAAATGCTTACAGGTTTGTATCTCAGTGCATCTCTGTAGGATCCAAACAAAGCAGCCTGTGCCCTAAGAAAGGCCCTCGCTACTCCATCACCCGTAGCTGTAGACTGCTTCTTCAGTTTATTTTTCAAGGCCGAGACCTGCATGACAGAGAGGAACAGTTAAATTAACACCTCAGAAATTGGTACAGCAAGGTACGAACCCAATCAGCAGGCAAACCACAGTGTCTTCGGGTCAGCCAAAAATTCATCCTCCTCCCTGATAGCTTATCTTTTTAACTGCAGGGAGCACCTGCTGGTCTGTTAATTGAAACGAAAGCAGGAGAGGATAGGAACGCACTAATGCAAATTGGTTTATGCTCTCTCTCTCTCTCTCTCTCTTTTTTTTTTTTGGTAGGCCTCTTGACATAAATAAGCTTTAATTATTTTACAGTAAACTGCTTGTGAGCCACTTTTCTACAGATTTTTAACAATTACGACATGTGTCTACTTGTTTTGAAATGAAGCTGGTTCGGCATCGTTCATTTCTGCTTTGCAAGGTTATTTGTTATTAGTCCTGCAGGATCACTTACCATTTAGTTTTATTTTTGGAAGTCTCATTTGCATATATAATTTTCCAGTCATTGGCTGAATAGTTTTTTGTCGTTATTAGATGAAAAGAGGAGGGAGGAGATAAAGTTATTGAGACCACTTATGAGTGGAGAATTATGTTCTGCAAATGTTACACATTGTCTCATTTAATCTTCACAATAGTCCTTTAAGAAAAGCACTAATGTTCTCATTTATGAATGAAGAAATAAGGCACAAAGATGTGAATTAATTTGTTCTTACTACATAGGTAATAAGTGGCAAAGCTATGACTTAAACCCAGTTCTGTCCAGGGTTTCCCACTACGACATGATGGATCTGAGTTCAACGTCATTGCCTCGCGTATCAGTAATCAGAGTAAAATACTAATGCTTTTAAATCACAGAAAAATTTATTATCTAGGAATTTGCATAGTTTTTAAAAAGCAATTAAAGTTCTTACAATTTTTTGTACATTTTCTATCTTCTAATTTCAAGTACTACGTATTTTAGAGAATACGTATTGTTTACAAATAGGCTTTACTTAGATGAGTTTTTAAGTGAAAATCATTCTCCTGATGTAAATTTTCACTCTTATAAGGGGGTATATGTCTTATGCATCCCATTCACTTCACCTAGTCCTTTCATACAGAACAGAAAACTACGGTCTGTACAATGAACAATACTGATCCTCAAATACATTCCTCATTGATGCTGAAAATGGAAATGTGTAGATGTGTAACAATTTTGTTTTCTGAGAAAATAAGCTGATGAGACAAATTCTGGTTGGGCTGCCCCCTTAACAGAGCACGTTCTTATCCTGACAAAACTACCAGATAAGACATTAATGCCATTTCTCCACAGACAGATGCAAGAAGGAATATTTTTATTTCTTGATGCAAGTAGTCTTCACCACTCTTGTAGATGATGATTGTAATTGAAGTGTCAACCTAATTAACAACTAAACTTTGAATAATGCTAATGAGAAATGCACACAGCATCAGAGGAAAGACCAACTCTACAGGTGATAAACCTTCACAGTAGTGACATTTTCCAGTGTAAAGTCACAGTTACTGTGATCTGATCAAAGAAACAGACCCCCATTGGGTCCAATTATAACCATAGTTTTGAAAAAATCATTGAGTTATGATGTTCATAATCTATGCAGAAAGGCCTTTGCGGTATAGGTCTTCTCCCCATAGCTGTGATCTTTTCAATTTATATCCAAGCTCCGCAGATTCAGATAAAAGTTTAGAGCCTAATTCATTTAGCCCACAAAGTGCATAAACCAGGTTCATTTAAGAGGGAGTTTTTATTATTAAAGCTAACCTCAATAAATGCACATTTTTAGGTAACCCACACATTCAAACAAAAATAGAGTTGAAGGATGCAAAAACAAATCTTCTGACTGAATGCTCTTTATTCTGAAGTTTATAATATTTTTAAGATTAAAATACCTTTAAAAATGAGAATAAATACCAATAGATATATTTAACTACTGTCCCCTCAAAAGAAATATGATAAGAGGAATTTGATTTTAATCTTTTGACATATTATCAAAGGTAAATGAGGTTTTTTTAAAATTTTACTCTAGAATTTATATAAAAAAATTAATGTCACACCTTTTATCTTTGAGAAAGAAAATTCTTCCAAGTGTAATTATTTTTATAAAACATGAAATTGACAGTTGAGTTCTCTGTACATTAAGGACCATAACACATGTGCTCACAGGGAGGGAAGGCAAGCCAAACATCCCTTTGCCTTTATCAGACCAGGTCTTGACAACAGAGTTGCTGCCCGAGTTACCCAGGAGCACTAACCACAGTGCTACAAGCCATTCCAACCCCGTCGTGTGTATGTAGTCTCACATCCAAATTAGATAGTCAGTGATAGTTTCTGGGCTCCCTCCAGATGTGTAGAAAATAGCAGGGGGCGGGGGGGGGGACAATAAAAACTGTGCTGCCCATGAAGGTAGCCATTAGCCACGTGTACTTGAAACATGACTGGTCCAGAGCTGTACTCTCCGTGTAGAACGAATACTATTTGGAAGACTGAATATAAAAAAATCATTTCTATATTGCGTACATGTTGAAGCAATGATATGTTGAATGTAGGGTTAAATAACATAAACCATTAAAGTTAATTTCCCCTGTTTCTTTTGACGTTCATGTGACTTCCTAGAGTACTTAAGCCTACGTTCTGGCTTGTGTTGTATTTCTGTCAGTGTCTTCTACAGGAGCATACCAGCAACGTTCACACGGCTCTGTGATGCTACACGCTACAAAGCTAGGAATGTGGCTACATTTTCCTTTGTCTAGGCCTACAGTATTCTGCAAACCACATAAAAAGTGTTTTTCCTTGAGCTACCGCAGTCGGCTCCGCCTGTCGGTAGACCTCGGGGTGATCTTCAGAGACCAGAGGGCAGCAAGTTAAGTGTTTCTATATGCATAAATAAATGCTCAGAGTAATTAAAAATGAAATTGTTCTTAAAATTCAGCTTCAGAATGAGGATATTAATCTAATATAAAATGATTAGGTCAACTGTGCTGTTTTCCTGGCCTTTAGATCAGCGGAGTAAATTACCACCAGTTACCACTGCCCTTAGCAGTGCTAATTAGCTTGTAGCAGTTTTTATCTATAAAATGAAGTTGTCTCTGCATTCATTCAACACCTGATCTGGGACATACCATTTTCTGCTTTAATTTCCAAACTTCTAAGTTACTTCGGAAATAACGTGCATATTGCCATGAAATCCTAAAAGTCAGACCCACATACGACTCTGAATTCAGAGAAGCGTGCGGAAGCTCAGTCGTAAGGCAGTTCTCACATAACACTTCCAACACTAAACATGTGTCAATGGTTTCCTTTTCATTCTTAAAAAAGTTAAACTAGTCTCAATCTTCAATGGCTAAGATTATTTCAGAACTGAAATTTTATCTTGCTGCTTTAAGTTTTCAGTCTGCAAATAATTTCTTTAGTCTAAGGTATTATTAGGTATTATTATTATTATTATTAGGTATTGATTAGGTATTGACAAAAAAAGTGAAAACTAAGTGAGAAATAAACATCATTTCATCACTCTTACCAAATGTTTAAGTTCCTTTCATATGATGAGAACTCAGTCCTCAAGAAGCCTTCTTTGGGAGGAATTATAACCTAAATTTTAGCATAAGTGGGGCTCGCTGTGGAATGAGTAATGTCATCACCAATTCTCTAGTTGCACCCTCTTCGCACTGCACTGACTGTAAATAAAAGGAGCTCCCGTGAGAAACTGAGCTGATAGTTTAAGAGTGCAAGCCGTACGCAAAGGTCTGAGTAATGAAGTAATTACACGGACTGGGAGTAAGTCAGCCAGAGAGGGGACCTTCAGGCTGGGTTTTCCAGGAGGTGACAGGTTGTTCTCTCACTGACGTCTAGATGCATCTTTCCAGTAAAAATAAATTAGCTCTACCTAGAAATTATAATTTCTCTTTTTAGGACCATGAAGAGAAACATCAGGGTAAAGGAGAAATGGTAGAAAGAGTTCAGAACAGTATTTGGGTGACATATTTACTAGGTAACTGAACTGTACTCTAGAAACTACATACATTCAGAAGAGTTAAGTCTCAAATAATCACCTGCTTTAGCTAGAAAGTTAAAACATGTTCTATGGTTATCACCTGGATTACATATTAAATCCCTACACTGGTTTACCTTTACTAATGCTCAGGTTTATTTTTTTTTTTAAGAAAGAAAATGAACACTTCCCTCCTAATATAGTAACTGTCTAATGCACCTCTATTTTAGGATTAAGAGTAGCCAAGAGCCATCAGCAGGTATTCGATGGAAAGCATATGATGCACTTGCCAATGGAAGGTATCATTATATTGTTTCTTTATATGCTTAAACTGCCCGTCAAACCTTAACTCATATGGCATCACCTAAAGCTATTTCCTTTCAAAGACATGTTAATATTAAACTGAAAGGGGGTGAGCGGGTTGCATGGTGGTTAAGGCACTGGACTCCCACATGGCTGACCATAGTTTGAGTCCCAGACCTGGCAATTTGCTTTCTCACCTTCTTACTCTCTTGCTCTCGTTTTCTCCCTCCCTCCCTTCCTCTGTCTCTCTCAAGCACACATGTCCTACAAGAAACTTAACAATAATAATAAATATCTAAAAAATTAAACAATTGCTCTTTCTCCACCTCAATCTCCATATCATGCCTCTGTCACTTCCACTCTCTCAGTTGCTCCAAAAGGACACTGTAGATCTTCCTGGCACTTCACCCTTCCTTAGCACCCATATACGGACCACTCCCAAACCCACCAGTTTGTCATCTGGTACAGATTTTACATCTTTTCCTCACATCCCTGTCATTGTCAGGTTCATGCAACTCTTTATCTTTCACTTTAGCCACTGTGAATCATCCCCTAACTGATCTTCCCACCTGTCTCTTTCCAGGGAGCTTGAAGACCTAGAACCCAAGATGCTATTTTTTTTTTAACTCAAAGTGGATCACACTACTCCTTTGCTAAAAACCTACAACTAACTTCCAATGAAATCTAAAGGTCTTTAACAAGGACTGTAGGTCTTC